TTTTAAAGATATTTTAAATATTTTAAGTTGAATGATAGTAATTAATGTAATTTTTATAAAATATTTATTTATTTTGTAAATATATTTTACTTTACTTTTTTTTTTATTTATATAGAAAATTTTTTCCTATTAAAGACTGTTTTTGTTGTAATTTTTTATTTCATATATTTGTATGAAATTTTTTTTAGTTTGATTCTAGAATTAATTATGTTTTAAATTAAATAAATTAGATTGAAGATCGAGATAATTTATCTTACCTGTGAGCTTAGCATAAGAAATTGAAAAAATGGATGAGGATAACCAAATTAAGCCAACCAAATTACAAGTGGCGGCCCATCAGCTTATAAAGTCAATTTAAAAACAATTTAAAAATGAGGAATATCCTAACTAGAATGTAGAGTTTTTGTTAATAAGGTGGTACGCATTTATTAAAAAATTTAGATATTTTCATTTTATATCTAAAAAAAACATAACTTAATCAAGATTGAAAATTTAGATTGTATACCTGTATGTTTCACCAAATAAATTGCAGAAAATGGATAATGATAACCAAATCAGCTAGGCCAAGAGAATTAGACGTAGTAGCAAATTAATTCAATTGCAAGGCTAATTCTGTTAGGTGATAAAAATTGTAGCTGGCTAAGCAAAAGAGGAGAGAACTTGTCCAAATTATAGCTGAAAATTTCCTGGAAGATGCTTGGAAAATGCCAATAAAATGAATCTGCAAAAAGATATCCAATGAGGTTACAATAAGAAAGGTGCAAAATTAATTTATTATTATTATTATAAAGTGATCAATAATTGTGCAACCACTTCCTATTATAACATATAAAAGAAAGACCTAGGTATGGAAGGGGAAAGACAAAATAATAACGTATACGTCATATGTTAAATTTTGATTCATTTATTTCAATTGAAATATAAGGAAGTTAATTTCATTTAATTTAAAAGTATGAGAGGAAATTTATTTTAAGATATATAAAAGTATATTTCGATAATCCTAAAAGTAAATGGGTAAATATACTATTTTCATCTTTTATCAATTCTAAATAAGTTTCAATCATTTGCCTCTTCTTTAAATAAATATTTTCTTTACTGTTCAATATTTCCAAAAAATTTTATGTTTAAAAAAGATGATTTAGTTGTCAAGGATTCTTTCGCTTACCTAATAAAAGCTCTGTAAAAATTAAGGACATTGGTAATTAGTCTTGCAAAATGTAAGATGCAATGCATGATTTAACATTGTTTAAGGTGATAATTTTGTCTGGGAGACTGGTTGCAAAATATATTTCAACAACATATATGCAATAAGTCTCCAACAGAGTAATGACCTGACATGAGGTTATTATATGTTAAATTTTTAGTTAGTTGTCCCATCCAATTACTTAGCGAGGCAATTTTGCCTATGTTTTGTGTAGAAGGTTGGATCTGTCAACTATAATTAGAAGGTGAATTTAGACATTTTACTTTTATATATCAACTAGAACATAAGACAATCAAGAGTCAAAATAAAAATAAATAACGTACCTATGAGTTTAGCAGATGGGATTGAAGAAATAGATGTCCATGACCAAATTAAAAGTAGCAGCCAATCACAAGCCTAGTTATTTCTAACTAGAGGGATGCGATGCATATTTCCTGGAAGACAATCATGATTTAGAAAGATCACGAGGAGATACTTGTATATTTACTAAAAGTCCTCAAAAAAGAGAACTCACATTATTAATTAAGTAGCTATTATTTAATTTGGTAGAGGCAGACAGTTTGAAAAAGAAAAATCGATAAAGAAAGATAATTTAAAAAAGATTTGTTTAATTTGTACCTTTAAAATGCAAATTAAAAAAACATTAATTACATTTTTTATAATTAATTTATATAAAAAAAATAAAAATTAACTTTAAATTTATCAATTACTCAATTAAAACATTCAAGTGGTATTGGTGTTAAAAACAATGTCTGTCTTTTACATTTTTCTATAACAATTTATTATAAAAGAATACATTTAATGCATTTTAATGTGTACTCTAATGATACAAGTTAGATAAATCTATAAGAAGAATCTAACAATTTGTGCTAAAATAATTTAAAATTGACGAGTATTCTAACTACAATGAAGTTTCTTTGTCAATAAGGACATGCATCTATAAGAAAATCCAGATATTTTTCATTTTATATCTCAAAAAGAATATAACTGAACTGAGATCGAAGATCTAAATGGTATACATCCAGGTTACATTTTTCTATAAAAATTTATTATAAAAGAACACATTTAATGCATTTTAATGGGCACCCTAATGACACAAGTTAGATAAATCTATAAGAAGAATCTAACAATTTGTACTAAAATAATTTAAAATTGACGAGTATTCTAACTAGAATGAAGTTTCTTCATCAATAAGGACATGAATCTATAATAAAATTTAGATATTTTTCATTTTATATCTCAAAGAGAATATAACTGAACTGAGATCAAAGATCTAAATGGTATACCTCCAAGTTTCACTGAAGAAATTGCAGAAAATGGACCCTAATTGATAGCCAAATCAAGCAAGCCAAGAAAATTAGAAATAGCAGTGAATCAGTTTAATTGCAAGGCTAATTCTGTGAGATGATCAAAGTGAGTCGGCCAAGGAGAAGAGGAGAGAGAACTTGTACAAATTATAGTCAGAAATTTCCTGGAAGATGCTTGGCAAATGCCAGTGAATGAATCTACAAAGACAATAAGAAAGTTGCAAAGTTACTTTATTATAAAGTGATCAATAATAATTTCAAAGGTTGGATCTAATAATAAATAATGTCATCTTATAAATTAAATTTAAAGTTAACATCTTGGGATCAATATCAAAGAGAATATAACTGAACTGAGATCGAAGATCTAAAGGGTATACCTCTAGGTTTCACTGAAGAAATTGCAGAAAATGGACCCTAACTGATAGCCAAATCAGGCAGGCCAAGAAAATTAGAAATAGCAGTGAATCAGTTCAATTGCAAGGCTACTTCTGTGAGATGATAAAAAGTGAGTCGACTAAGGAGAAGAGGAGAGAGAACTTGTACAAATTATAGCCAGAGACTTCTTGGAAGATGCTTGGCAAATGCCAGTTAATGAATCTACAAAGAAAATGAGAAAGTTGCAAAGTTACTTTATTATAAAGTGATCAATAATAATGGTTGGATCAAATAATAAGTAATGTCATCTTATAAATTAAATTTAAAATTAACATCTTGAGATCAACATCCAAGAAAATTATTCTCTTTAAATCAATTACCATTTTGCTTTTTATCTATTCTAAAAATAAGGTTTAATCATTTGCCTTCTCTCTTAGGAAAGTTTTTCTCAATATTCCTTATTTCTAAAGAATTTTGATTTTGAAAAAGATAATTTCATTGAACTCTGGATGACTTAGGGATTCCTTCACCAACCTAATAACAGCTTGGCAACAATGGAGGACATTGATTTAGAATTGTTTGTTTAAGGTGATACTTTCATTTGGGAGATTGGTTGCAAAATATTTTAACAATAAATATTTAGTCAGACTTTTAACG